ATATATCACACACACACACACATATATATATATATATATATATATATATATATATATATATATATAACCCCATTTACAACTGTACGTTAGATTATCAATCATGAAAGTCTATGGTCTATTATTAGTAAGTGAACCTATTCACAGCTACCTTTACGCTTTGTTTGGTAGAATAGAAAGAAAACAAGAATAAGAATTTAATTTCTTTATTTAGATAAAAAAAAAATTGACTTCACAAAGATAATAAAATTAAACTTTTTTATTCTTCAATTATTTATTTAAATTTAATTTTTTTCTGGCCTTCCTACTTTTTTCCTTCATTTTAAATAGGTTATTAAGTATATTGGTGACAAAAACATATAAAAGTATATATTTAAATCATATTATTCATATAAAATATTTATTAATTTTGTCGTTGACTACTTTTAGTGAAATTTCTTCTTTTGATTACATTTTATCATACACAAAAATCAAATTTAAGATCTTACTTAAAGAAATCAAGATTAGTATCAATGGAATCAACAACTTATTAGTATATGAAGGTTCATTTTGATATTTTAAAACAAAATTATTTAAATTTATTCTTTCTAGTTCGGTTTAAATGAATACATTTTTAATTTTTTTAAAAGAGAAACTATAAGTATTAAAATAAATTATGAAATATACAAATTTTTTCAACATCAAACATCACATCTAGTAAATAATTCTAACATAGTTAAAAGCATACGTACAAATTGTAAGTTGAATACAATTTTACAGTCTCTTAAGAAATAATAAACAATGGATTTATTATATTTTGTAAATGGTTTAGATCTCACATGACGTGATGTGGGGGACACTAAAATCGTTTTTTTTTTTAAATCATGAAAAGAAGTTGGCCAGCATGACATATTATGTGGACCATGTTAAATTACTCACAGATTGCTTGGTGCCGCGGAGGATCCCGGAATAGAGATGATGTTTATTGTAGGAAGTAGGTTGGGGCGGCGAAAATGTGCAGAAATGAAGGAAGACCATATAAGTTTTGAACCGTTCTAACATGAAGTATAGAAAGAAATGTCTCATCCATGAGTCATTAAATTAAATAACTTGTAATAGCAGGTTTTGCAACTTGTTTAAAATTGCAAAATAGTCCTTATATTATATGTGGAGGTACTGTGAAGACGCGTTGGCGGTGGAGGCACGGTGGCAGCAGAGGTCGTCTCCTTCCACGGTGGTGGCTGGGAAGGTGTGACTTCGTTCGCATTGTGGCAGCGGAGGCACAATCTCCTTCGCGCAGTGGCAACGCGGAGGCACGGGTTCCTTCGCGCAGTGGCATCAGAAGCATGACTTCATTCACGCGAAGACAGCGGAGGCACGGCCTCCTTCTTCGCGCGATGACAGCGGAGGCACGAGCTCCTCCTCCTCGGCGCCACCGACCTCATGTCCCTCCTCTGACGCTACCTCCCCCTCTCCGTCGTCCGTGGCATTCAACTCTCTCAGGGCCTCTCCTAAACCCTAAACCTCGTCACCTCCAAATCCAGCCCTCCCCACCCTTGGTTCGCCCTCGACGGCCTCACCATCACACTCACTGCGTCTTCTTTGTCCTCACCACTCGCCGGCAACCAAAACAGTAACCCTAAATAGGGACTAATATGCAAAATACAAAAATTTTCATAAACAAGTTATTGGTAACAAATATGAACCTTTGATTATTTTATTATTAAATCTAACGGTTAAAAATGGTGCTTCATTGATGTACCACTTTTCATACTGCTTCATGTTAAAATTCTTGATAAGTTTTATATATTTTTCTTCTATGCAAATACCGAAGAAAGTGTGAAGAAGATATAACCGATTAAAAATAAAATAATGAATAATAAAAATATTTAATATGTTAAAATTTATCAATTTAGATTTTTATTTAATTAAAAGATTTATCTTTTCTTCACTTCTCTTTTATTTTTATTTTTTTTTTGTCAAACAACTTTAATTTCTTACTCATTTTTCCTCTTGTCTTTTCTTTTCTCTTTCTTTTATTTATATACTCTCCACCAAACATAATATTAGCAATTTTTCACCATGTAACCTAATCACTCTCACATAACATATTGTAACACTGCAAGTTTATACTAATTATTGTATTTTTATCGATAATTATGTATTAAGTTATCTTGAGGTGGTATAATATTTAGAGATTTTGAGAGTTAACAAGTTTTTGAGAAGTCTTTAGATGTTTTAGAGAATTTCTTTGACTAACGGTCCAATTTGACCCTAAAGAGAGAAGTATATAAAATTTATATATTAAGAATTTAGTTTCATGAGCTTGTTCCTCGGAAACTTAGAGAAATAAGTTAGAGAGAAACACTTTAAAATCTAAGAATATTTTCTCATCCTTTATAGTCTCCCCAAAGGTGTAAGAGATCATCTTTAATTTATGACAGATGTTGATTCAAAGCTCTTTGCTAAGAATCAAGGTTGTCATGTAGTGTAGAGCTTCTTGTTGTTTGGAACTCAACGTTCGCTTCTTCTTCTTCCTGAATTTTTACGGATTCGAGGTAAGAGAAGCTATAATATATTTTAATTAATTGATTGAATGAAGTTGAATGTGACTTGTGTTTCACTTATAATCGTGTTGTATTGACCGTGACACCCTTTTTCTATTTTATTTTCTAACTTTGATTTTTAATTATTTAATTACTCATTTAAATAAATAAAAAAATGAAATAACTATAAGGTATTGTTATTTTTCATTACTTAAGCAACCTCCAATACCGAAGTAATTGAAGATAAAGAAAGACAAGTTTATCCATTTACATATATTTACGAGGTTACAAGTCATCATAGATATTATATATTATAAAGAGGGTTGATATGGTTGGTGGGAAGAAATGCAAAGGTAGTGATCACAAATCCCTATTGGTGTGGACACATATGTAAGTGATATCATAGGAGATCCTTGCCCCTTGAAAGTAATTGTGTTATTTTGTGTCGATGGTCCATTGAAGTCCTAAAAACACCGCATGTACGAGTTTTAATTATGAAATGGACCAAAAGAAGTGAGTACATATACCATGTAAATCAAGTATTTAAACAAAAATAAAATACACATGCACGCATACATATAATTACATATTACTTATGCATTTTAATTACGAGTTTTCTGTTTTTTTTATTCTACTCCATGAAAAGATATTAGTTATAAATTTGTAATAACTAGTCAAAATAAATGAATTTTTATCATGATTTATTAATAAAATATATCTCACCTTAATCAAATATATACTCATTTAAATCTTTAAAGTCAAGTTTTAAATTACAAATGAATTTAAATTTTATTTACCCATACATGATCATATTAATAAATAAATAAATAAATACCTTTATAACATCTTATGATTACAATGAATTTTAAAACATTTTAATAACATATGTTACTGTATTATTATTTTTATTATTAAGCTGTATATTTTTATTTTTATATATAATAATTACAAGTCTCGGAAGGATAAAGAAAGGAGAAAAAAAATAATTATATCTATTATTAAGCATATAAAAAAAAACTAATCAGTTATAATGTAATAATAATCTAAATGATTTTGACTTCATTTTCAGTATTTAGAAACAAAATTTTAAATAAAATATGTGTAAATAAAAAATAACTTATTAAAATAAGTTGAATGACATACCAACAACGCATATAAAATATTAAAGAAATAAAAGGTTAAATAATATAACAACATTAATTAAGTAAAAGAAAATAAATAAATTATATGAGATTAAAAATACTCCAATAAATAACTATAATTATATTTTATTTTAAAAATAAAATAGATATTTCCTTCCCTATCTTAAAAATTGCAAGTCAAATGTTTGTTGTTTTCTAGATTAATATTTGTATACTCTCTCTAACTTTCTTTTAAGTAGAACAAACAAGGGAAGTGAGATGTGTGCGTACCCCTTTTCCATTTATAGGCTTCAGGTGGTTTACGCATATGTGTATCTGTTTTCGGATGAGATCATGTTGCAAATTAGCTACCTATTGTACTACCTGCAACACTGGTATGATTACACTAGATTCCACATTTTATTCCATTTTCAACCAAACAACTCGTGCCAATTTAACTTATATCTCGCAAATGGGCTAACACAGTCAAATTTCCACTTTCATTAACTTATATTTTATTATTCAATTTCAATCATGGTCCCTTTTCATTCTTTTTCTTTCCTTCGTCCACTTTCATTTTTATTTTTTTTTTCTCGTAAGATAATTATACATTATTTATATACATATATAAAACTACTATTATATGTATGTATATATTATACTACTATACATATACATATATTATACTATTTCTAAATAAAAATATTGTTATACCGTTTATATAAATTTGTATTTATTTATTTATTTATTAGAAACCCAAAATACTTATATAATATTTTATTATTAAGAAAAATAATTATCAACTCATAATAACATGATTAAATAACATTTTATTTACGAAGTGTAAAAGTTTGCAACTGAGAACTTAAAATGTTACATTGATTGATTTAGAATTAGATGAGTGAAATCAAGTTGGTTGCTTGTGAAACATTGTGGAATGTATTTGGTATTTTTTTTTTATACATCTAAATGCATGTTGCTTATTGATTTTAAGAGTGGACGAGTTATTCACAATGAGTATATATGGTTTGTTATGTTGCATGCTTGGGTTTTTTTTTATTTTTAAGTGTGACGAGAGCAAATTTGTGATTTACTAAGTGCAAAACTAACCGTCGCATCGAACGCGCCTTCAAAGTGTTAGGTGTAACTTCAATAGGGGACCTTTATCTTGCTTGTGTTGGAAAGCATGATTGATGACGTCAAACGTGAAAAGAGTAATTGTCTTATGTTGAAATCCCATCAAACAAGATTTGAATGGTGATCGAGCGTGAGACGAGATGATTATCTCGAGTTAGATTGATATTGGATGCCAAAGGAGTGACACTAGAAGTAAGGAAAGAGACTCATCTCTGCCTTGTTTGGGGTTGGATGTAAACTTTGTCACACTAGGTGTGAGGGTCTAGGGGTTTCTACCTCACCCATGTTGGACACAGATTTTGAAGCGACAAACGTGGGTAAGGCAGAGAGCTTCTTGTCTTAATGGCGCTAGACATGAGTTGGATAGTGCAGAGCGCAAATTATCTTATAAAAATGTGTTGTTTGTATGATTAATTGGTGATCATGGATAGGTTAGGAGAATTTATTGCATGTTGCAAATTGGTTGGTGATGTTTGTTTTGTGTATATTGATATGGGATAATATATGTAGATGATTATATGTTGAAATGTGTTGAAGTGTATTTGTGTTGAAATTTATGAATGTTGTTAGATTTATATATCCATTAACCTGGGGTAATGCATATAGTTGAATGTTCTTGAGATGTGATATTAAGAATGCTTTAAGGCATTTAGGCATGGTTTGTTGCCTTGTTGAGATGTTGATATATTCAATGTTATAAACATTTAGGCATCTTAATTGGCCTATGATTAGAGGAGATTGTGTTTTTGGAAGTTGGATATCCTATTGTGAATATTGGTATGGTGTTCTATGAGCCTAATTTTTGAAAAATTCTCCTTTAGTAGGCGTTAACTTTTGGAGTAAGATATGAAATTGATGCTACAGCCTTTAACTGATTATTAGATAGATGTGTTGTATCGTGAGAATAGTTAGTTGGACTATAATTCATATGGTATTTGATTAATGCATGTCAATATCGTGGTAAGCCTACACCTAAGCTATATTATACCTAACGTTAGTATTGAACTTCCTTATCTGAGTGGCGACCTTCGAGAAATAATGTGTAGGAATTGATTTCCTAATTAGCAACTGATCTAATAGGCATGTAGGGTGTTAAAAAAATCTGTTGGTTCGATAGCATCAAGTTACTTAAATTGTTTACTTGGTTATATAAGATTATTGTCGATAAACGCATGATGATGCATTAATTAAGATATATTCATATAATGTGATGTGATTTGATGATTGTTCATATGTTTTTTGATCATATGGTTGAATGACACACTTGTTGATGTATGGATAAAAATTGTTTTTCTTCATATGGTATTGGATGCCATCTTGAGATGTTATGTATATGGTTTTATATGTTAATGTTGTTATTAATATAAATATTTTTACTTTTATATTTATTATACGATTATTTTTTTATATTTAATTTATTTTTACATATTTTTTTATAATTGGGCTACAATAATCATGTTTATATTTTAAGATAGGGACAAATTTAAAAAATTGACGATTTTATTGGTTATATTAGATAACGATGTGACAGGAGATTTCTTTTATATTATGATTACTTTTGTTTGATTGATGACTTAAATTTTTTCTTGTAATTTTTAGATCATATTATATATATATATATATATATTATTTATAGTATCCATTTTCAGTTTTTACTTCATAATGGCTGTTAATAACCTGTGCAACTAAATCATACGGTTAATTAACTAAACATACTTAAAAAGAAATATATATTGTTAAGAATTAGTGGTCTGAAAATACGAATTCCTTCTAGATCTGACAGACAGGGTGTTAAGATTTACTGTTGTTGCTGAATATGGGATAGGGCCATAGGGGTAGTATCCATTTTCAGTTTTTACCCCATTCTTTCCAGTTTCCTCGTCAACCAACTTTTTCAGTGTCTCCTCCGTTGAACAAACCAAGGTAACGTAATAAATTCAACAACTTTTAAAAACCCTTTCCCCAAGACTAATACTATTGCAGAATAGTGCTGCTCGTGTACCCACCCTTTGTTTTTTTCCTTCTAAAACCAATTTTCTTATTTCTAAATACTGTTGACTAGGCAACTCACTGACACTTTTTTCATTACTTCATAGTTCATATTCATACACTCTGGGTGGGACCACATTTATTTAACAATTAAAAAAGTCAATAATCGAGAAATGTTTGCCTTTTGTTTTACTTGTGGCACACCTAGAGTTGGTAGTAGACAAGTAGCGGGTCAAGCAACAGCTACTTGACGAATTATTTGATTCCAGCGCCTCATGATATTATATTTAAATTTAAATAAATAAAAAAAGTATGTAAAAAAAATTGAAGAGTTGGAGTGCGAGTGCGAGTGCGAGTGCGAGTGCGATGCACGAAGTCCGAAAAGATGGGAGGAGCAGGATCACGAATCACAAGGAGATCGAACGGACAGGAGTGAAGAGGTGTACGGATAAAGAAGGTGCAGTGCACGTAACTGTAGAGATGAGGATAATGACGTCATGAATCACCGTACACACACATCTCACTTCTCCTCTTTTCATTGTCCAGTCTTTTCATTCCATAATGGTACAATTCTTTTTATTTTCTATGCTACTTGTCACCATTCTTTTACCGGAGTGGCCCACTGGGCCCAATACAACATATCCCGGATTTCGAGGCAAAGTTTCTCAAAAGGACCCCAAACAAAATACAGTATATCACAACAAAAACAAATAATTTGTATAAACAAAAAAATGTTTCTTAATTTTAAGTGCATATCATATTATTGTTGAGTACAACATAGATATATAATTACATTAACTGTTTGGATGAAAATTTTCATCATTAATTCTACTTTATTTGAATAAATACTTTTGATCTCTAAAATAAATCATACCATGTTTAGAACTGACATGCTTTTTTTGGTGGCTAAAATTTATTAAAAATATAAAATCATGATAGACTCGTTAAATAACAATGGAATTCATAAAAATTGCTGATTGTTACTAAAATTAAGTAGATAATAAAGAGTATGTTTAAAATGGTACAATACTAACATTTCTAAGTATTAAAAAATTAAAATTTTAACAATTCTGTAGCACTATATCTACTATGAGTTAATCCAATACGAAGTGTTTTTTTCTTTGAATTTATTTTTTTAAATAACTATAATGTATTTTCATTTGTCCGTCCGTGTATTGGGGTTGGGACATACTGTCAGAAAAACAATGTATCAATACTCGAACCTCTTTACAAGAAAATACATAAATTCTGTAGCACTATATCTACTATGAGTTAATCCAATACGAAGTGTTTTTTTAAGGGACTTTGAAACGAGATCCACTGGGCTCTAGATCCATCGGCGAGGAGCCCATATCTCTAATCCACACATAAACAATAGATGAATACATAAACTTCCGTTGTTTTGAGAAAGAAAATACAAAGCGAAAAAAAAAAAAAGTGGAAAAAATTGGCATTGTTAAAATAAAGGCTGAATTATGTTTTTAATAATGTATAATATCCAATTCGTGATTTTAGTTTTCTAATTCTTAAATTTGTAATTTAATATAAGTATTATTATATATTAATTATTAGATTATGCCTAACTTTAAAATTAATAGATGAATATTTAGTGAAATAGACTAAAATTATAAATCTTACATAATTAAAAGATTAAAATTATTGAATTAAAAATTGAAAAATAATAATTATAAATTAGACATTATGAAGAATCGAACATACAATTTAACCTTTAAATAAAACATCATGTTCCTAACATACCATTTAATCTTTAAATAAAACATCATATTTCTAACATGTTCCTACCATTGGTAGGATGAACTCTTTAACATATAAACATTGGTAAGATAAACTATTTAACATATAAAGTTACTGATTTATGTTCACGAATATTTAAGTTAAAAAATAAAAATAATGAAAATAAAAAGATATCCATAATTAGCAACATAAAAAATTAAAATAAAAGGAATACTACTAGGATTACTATCTTATTCACATGCAATAAGATAGTTCTAAAGGTAAAAGTATATTTCATTAACTAAATTTTTATTATTATTTATCTAATGAAACCCTTGTAATAGAGGGAGAGAGATAATGAAGAAAAAAAAATGGAATTTTCAAATCAGTATCAAATCCACAACAGAAAAATATAAGATATTGGAATTTTCACAGAACAGGTCTGAAATTTTATTTAGTTATTTCTCTTGGGTCCAAAATCACACACAAAAGTCACAAAGTTGATAACCACAGCACACCCCTATAAATACATCATTGTACTGTGACATGCTTGACATCCTTTTGGGGCTTCTGAGTCCTAGGAACAATTACAGTAAGGACACCGTCCTTCAACTCTGCCTTAATTTCATCAGGCTTGGCATCATCAGGCAAAACGAGGCTTGTGTTATAGTATCCATAACTACTTGAAGACCAATACTCATCATCATCCCTTTCTTCCTTCTCTTCCTTGTGCTCTCCCTTTATTGTCAGCACCCCATCATCAATGGTGATCTTCACATCCTCTTTGGCAATCCCTGGCATCTCGTACCGCAGTTTGTAATGGTCATCCTTTTCTTTCACACGCCCACTCAGAGACCATGGTGTCAGTTTCATGTCCTCAAACAACCTGTTTATGTTCTCAGTTGCCTGCATCAGTGCATTCCCAAGCCCTGAGGGAAAGAATTCTGACACCAAACACAATGTGTAAGCTTCTGTTTCATGCAACTTCACGTAAATTCATACGACTTATTATCTATCAAGTTAGATTCAAATATAAATATCTAAAACCAGTCAAGATTTGATGATCAGTTCCTCTAACTAATAGTATAAAGAATAAATAATATATGTAGTGATAGTACTATTATTGAATTAAAATTGCTATGTAGGAGGGAGAGATTACCATAAAGAGCAGGAGGGAAATCACGATCATCATTTCTCCAACCCCATCTTCTGCCCCTTCTCGTAGGGGACAACCTATTGGACTTTTTCCCTTCTGTCACAGCAACTTCACTGCCTTCAGATTTTCCCTTATCACCGGCTGCAGCACTAGCAAACCTTCTGAGCAACTCATTGCTCCACCTCGGCTTATGCACACCATCATGGCCAATCAAGGAAGAGGAAGTGTACACCTTGTGCTGCAAATTTTTCAATGCCAAACGTGCCAAAGCCATGTGATTAGCTTGATGCTGAACTACTGTTTGTTTCTCTTTGTTTGCTTTTGCTGATATTTAACCAAGACAACTTAAGTATATATATATGGGGTTGGTGTTGGTTACTTGGCTTTTGGATGCTTAGAGAAGTGTCCAAGAGATTCTAGGTTGTGAGGGTGAGAGTGGATGCACATTAAATTTGAGAATAGTGATATTAATGGAGACTTCTCGGTCTTTCTCAGACATGAAATGATACGATTCACAAGAGTGTTCCAGAGGAAACAACTGTGAGCATCTTCCCAATGTCTCAGTTTTTTTTTTCTCGTGGTCCCGTTCCGGCCTTGAAGAATTAAAGCCCGGTCCACGAAAACAAGCGTGCTGGGCCAGGTCCAAATTCAGACTGATTAAAGTATTGCCTTAAAAGCAGGTAAGGAGGAAAAAAAAAAATTGTCTTAACACCAGTGAAATAAAATCCCAACCACTAAAGGAAGGAATCGTGATTAGTTATGCCAGAGAAGGATTTGATTGGCACTAAATTTTTTCTTCCAAAATAAGCCTATATGCTGTTGTTATTACACCTTTCGCAGTCTCGTTTCTGATTGCATCATAATGAAAACTAAGATTTAAAAAACTCTTCCTGATCTCCATCACTATGCTTTCTTTAATAAATATAGAATGTATTTTTATATTTTCTTTAATAAATATATTTAATTTTTAATCAATACTTTCTATATAAAAAGTATATATATAAAATAGGAGGATGATTTGTAAGAAAATGTCATTACTGAAAAATTAAAGGAATAACTTCTTAATATAGAATATGTGAACAAAAACAAATATAAAAGTAAATGGACAATGATAAGATAGGAGAAAACTTTATCTATATGTAGCAACACCCAATTTAAAATAACTGAACGAGAAACCAAAATTAAACAAGCAACTTCCATTAGGAAAATATTCAACGTTTGACCAAAATTAATTCAATGACTTAATATTATTATTATTATTGAGACAAAGTTAAGGATTTCCACCAAGAAACGGGTGATTTTTAAAACTTCAAGTTTAATGAACATGAAACTAAATAAGCTATATCGAATATTGACCATTTATACAGCATAATTTTGATCCAATTTAACGTAAAGGCAGAGCAAAAGAAAGTGGCAGCCACTGATGCAGCGTGCTGTCAACAAAGAGAGTTTTTCAAAACTTGCCTCTTCAGAGTTCAGATAATAGAGGCAGCCAAGGCAATCAATTAAATAAAGTATAATACAATTATCTCAAGTTCTCAAGAGAGAAATTTTCCTCATCATATTCATAGGCATGTGACAATTGATGATATACAAACTACAGCATATGCCCATTAGTCCTTTCTACAGAAGCAAGAACTAGAATTATTTTCATGGATCAATTCAACAGGAACTTCCTCAAGCGTCAACAGATCAGTCATATAGGCCATCCTGCTCCCAGATGTCCACAAGAAAGTCTACCATTTCCTATCAGAATTGACATGAGTACACACCATCAGAAAATCATTATTTTTTTACTTAAAAAGTGCATGATTATTCAATTATTTAGAAGTAGATGTTTACAGCAAGAGGGATAGGCTGACGGAATGGCTTATTGCTCCCAAGTAAACTTTCATATGTTGCATTCCAACTGCAAAGCCAATAAATTTTGGCAAGGCACAGACAATAAGTTCTGACAAGATAGGGGAAAAAATGAAACAAATTCATAATTACTGACATAAAACAAGTTCATCGGCAGTGTATGTAAATCTTATTGTCCGATGCCCTATTCAAACAGATTTGCTATTACACCATACCAACATGAAAGATTATAGAACTTACCATGCCAGAATTTAAAAATAAGCTTAGCTTCTTACGACATGGCCCTTGTTATAATGTAACAGCAAGGACATAGCTACATGCCATGGATTTCAATTTTAGGCAAGTCATTTACACATTTCTTTCAAGGCTACCACTGGCTTTCTAATTAGTATTTAGCTATGAGCCTATGACCTTTAAAATGGAATAAATTGGCTTTTCCACCTTAGTAATACTTGTAAGGTGGAAAAGCAGGTACCTTCCATTAAATCTGTAAGACTACAACAGTTCAACCACAATCTCAACTTGTATATGAAACTCAGACAAGAAGTAAGAAGTAATACTAACTTGCAGAAAAATGGAAGTAAGAAGTAATACTAACTTGCAGAAAAATGGAAACGCGGGAATCCTAACACACAAAATTATAAAAAAATTAAGAAGTTACCAAAAAATAATTCAACAATGTAATTTATACCTCAATTTAGGTTCTCGTAATTGTTGTTGTTGTGTTCGGTTCTCAGGCTTCTTATTTCCGACCCAACGTTGCCGAGTCTGATTCCAAAGAATTAAGCCTGAAACCAAAAATATTTTCATAAATTCACTTCCAATAAAATATGATTGCAACAAAACATTTGTTCGGAAAATTTCAGTGGGAAAAAGCATACCAATAGGAAAATATGCGAATTAAAAGTGTTTCATAAATGAGTAGATGACCCAAAAGCAAAGTATACGGACAATGCTAGTCAAACCAAAAAAAGATATTTTTTAATAATTCAATAGACTAAATCAAACTACCATGTCACTGAAACCACATTTCTTAAATGAGCAGATATCTCTACGTTAATGTTATGAATTTATCTTTATATAACCTGCCATGAACAAACAAACTCACACCATGTGTTAGCTGTAGTCTTGTTGAAGATAAAGTTGATCAACCCATCAATAGGCAGTGGAGCTTTTGGCTTCCACCGTGTAAGGCATACCATTTATATTTTTTTTCATTTCAGTTTAATTACAAGAAAACCATACCAAACAATGAAATACTTATTTAGTAAAATATTTGCACAACATAAACGATGATTCGATGAATATTACCGTGATTTACAAATTCAGTGGGGTTGGTACTGGTTTTGGAAGAACCAACATGAGGAACCACAGCTTGGTTTGTTAGACTGGCTGAAGAGATGCTCCCCTGTGACTGGACAGCACTGTTGTCCATATCATGCGTGCTTGTGGTCCAGAAATCCTCTGATGAACTAGGTTTCCTCACTGTGATACCTTGTGTTGCCACCTCTTTTGATGGCGCATCTACTGTAGTACTCAATGTAGGTCTTTTACAGCATCCAACACAACCACTGCTCTGTTACAATAACACTAATTTCGGTTATGCACCACATTATCATCACATGATTGTCTAAAACAGCCATCATATTTCAGACACTTCAATTTCATTGCCACAAATTGAATTTTTTTTGTAAGAACCCACAAGTATCCTTTTCGAGAGGCAATCCTGTTTGAACCACCATAAAATGCAAATTGATTTACACACTGCAATCAAGTCACTTTAATTCCGAAAATTAACAATCCTTGGGCAAATGATTGACAAATTCATCCAAAATACATATACATCCCCTACTCCCAAAGAAGAAATGCTGGCATTGAAATCCATAACCTAGCTTAAAACCTTTTCATCAATTTCCTAGAGAACCGTGTAAAACGAGAGGGAAAAGGGAAATAACTTTCAGGGTCATCATCCTAGCACATGATTATCAATCAATAAGGGTAAAAAGATTGATACCCATAAAAGTATAAAGGCTAATTGAAGGTAAAAGGGCAAAAAGGAGGTAACTTTTTTTCAGCTATGGTTGGATTCAGAAAACATACCCCATATGCATGCAATGTCTGAAACACCCCCAAAAACTCGATTAGATTAGATCTGTCACGAGGAATTCGCAGAAAAACGAAGAAGACGAAACCGATTCCACAGCAATCCTAACAATTCAAAACGCAAAGATTAAAAAAAAAAAAAAAATTGAAAGAAAAGGAAAGAGAAAAATGCAAAAAAAAGAAAAAAAAAAGAAAAAAAAAACCTTTGAGTTTGATAGCCCTCCCTTCTGATGTGCAAAGTTCACACAGATGGGATTGCTCTTGGATTCTTGTTCGTCGTCGTCCTCTTCTTCTCTCTCACGATTGAAAAAAAAAACAAATTGATCAATATCGAAAGAGTCGATTATTTTAAGCAACAATATTTTTTATATTTTTATATTTTCATCCATCGTGCTGTTTAATAAATGTTTAATAAATTTATAAATTTAAAATACAATTTATATCATTCAAAAGATAATGTTTCAAAAATTAAAGAGTGATAAGATTAACTATTAATTTTTTTTACCTATATTTTTTGCAACATTATATTTTTAATATTTTCATTTTTAATTCCTTTTTAGTATTATATTAAATATTTAATTCTTTAAACATTGTCATGAAAAAATTATTTCTAAAAGCGTTTAATGAATGATAAATCAATCATTAATAATAATGAAAATATACAAATTAAAGTAAGAGCTTTGTTGGTTACTTAATTTATTTTTTCATAGACCATCTCAAATAAAGAGTGATCTTCTTCAAAGTTAAAATGTGAGAATCATTTTAAATGTTAGGTTAATAGATACTAATAAATAGAACAATGGAAGTTCTTTGACATTACTTAAAGTAATAAAAACGATATAATATTTTAAAAAAACGTTAAATTAAAAGCTAATATAATATTATGAGAAATTGTAAAACAAAAATTATAAAATATTGAATTAAAAACTAAAATGGAATTCCAAATTAGAGATGTTTTTAAATAAAAGTTTTACAAATTAGTGCAAATTGGATTTTTTATATATATAATTTTATCTCAAAGTAATATCACTGTCGATATTATTATAATGAATAATAATTGAAGCATGTTTGATGTTAATTATGGTTCATTTGAATACAATAAACTGATAAAGTGGTTGGGGGTTTTGCTATTGTGTATATTGCATTATGAGTACATTGAGTAGTACCCAATATATATATTGCATAATTCTTACTAGTTAGATTTTTGTGTACTTGCCTTTTCTAGTTCATATTTTTGGCCAAAGAGGCTATTAACAAAGTCTTTTAATTGTTACTAGTGGTGATTTAATTAATTGACGGATTATTTTTGGGTTCGATTAATCGCATATCTACTAAATTATTATATTGTTTTTTATTTCTAATGCAATTTATATGTCTTAAAATAAAATTTACGATTTATAGTGAAGAGTTAGCTAATATGTTAGCATCTTATATTTAAATTTTATTATTGTTATTTTAATTCTTAAAGAAAAATATTACTAATTGTTATTGATAAAAAAGAGTCAATATTGTTTTAATGAATTATACAAGTAACAATAATAGTTATTTAAAGAGTATTTTTTTAATTATATTTAATAAATTAAATTTAGTTAAATTTTACTTATTTTTCGATCGAGTTAAATTAATTTAAAGTGAAACTTTAAAACACTAATATGAAATAATTTAAAAAATAATAAGTTGAGTTGAATTTATTTTTTAAAACTAACTTAGAAAATAAAAAAAATTATTATATTATTTTTTTATTCAAATTCTTGTTTATAGATTAATTAACAAAGATTACTATTTTTTAATTATTAAACTTATAATGATAACAACAAATTATAATGATGTACATATTATTTAATACTCTCTTCACTAAACCAATTCGATGGTTCACAAATGTTACAAAATAGATACGCGTAAATGAAGATAGTCTTATATCATGGGAAATAAATAAAATGTATATTTTTTATACTATGTCACATTAGTGTTTTTTTTTATGTATATTTTAATTTATTAATTTTAAGTTTTCTTTTACACCATTTATTATTTTTTACTTTGCTTTTATTTTTTCAAACTTACCTGCATTATTCTAGGGGCATATTAGTCTTTAATTATCAATTTTGAAATATTACGGAGACTATATTCATAGAAAAAAAAACAAATAAACATTTTCTTATCAAAATATAATATAAAAAATTGTCAACTATTTTTTTCTTGCACTAATGTAGGTAAGTTTGAAAAAATATTTGTTTTTAAATTATATTTTTTGTCTCTCTGTTTATCTTTAAGATTCAAATTGATTCAACTATTATTAAATGGGTTAATGCAGTCCTCTAAAATTTTAAAAATATTTAATATTATCCTTTCGTCCAAATTGACAATAATGAAATCATACAGAGGGACAACATTAAATATCTTTTAAAAATTAGATAACTAAATTGAATCATTTAAAAATAGTGGGACAAAATTGAACATCTCAAAAATAGAAAGACTAAATTGAACAAAATTTATCTAACATTATTTTTGTCTAGATAAATTTGAATTTTCTTTCACCTATTTAATTTATTAGATAACTTCTTCATTTTGTTATCAATTTTTTAATTCTAAATACTTAATTTGTTGTCATTTATGATTGTATTAAAGTAAGTAAAAGAAAATTAAAATTTATCTAGAGAAAAATGTTAGATAAATTTTATTCAATTTAATCACTACTTTCAAAATATTTAATTTGTTCTCACTATTTTTAAAATGTTCAATTTGGTCCTCTATTTGTTTTTGTTGTTCTAAGCGAGGAGCATGTCCTAAAATTAGAACAAAATTAAACAAAGAGATTTAACTCCCAACATATCATAAAGTAAAGGAAGATAGACCCCTCCAAGAGGTAGAGGACACTCAATGGTACTTAGAGCAAGGGAATGATCCCAATTAGCAAGCCAATTAGCCACAACATTAGCCCCCTAAAGATATGGTAAAGACGAATCTCCTAATCATTAGTTAGCCAATCTTTGATACTAGAAATCATACTCCAACAAGGGTGATGGAGATTTTGATAATGAAGGACCAAATGTACATCAACTTTAGAGTCACTCTCAAACAAAAGCATGTGATGACCCTTATTCCACACAATATGAAGCGTAGAGAGAATTCTCTAAAGCTCCATCGTGAGGACATCAAACAATCCAAGGATTTGGAAAATTCCATACTCCTAATTTTCGAGGTTATCATGAAAAACACCAGCGCACGAGGTTCTCTAAGTTTCCTTTTTCACATAGTCATCAACATTACACTTGATCCAAGGAGGATGGGGTTTATCCCAACAAACATGGGTAGTGTAATAGGATGAAGTGGGATGTCGAGAATGAACTTTTACATTAAAGGCCTTAGAGATAGTGTTAGACTCTAAAAGAGATTGCCTGAAGATAAAAACAGGGGAGGAGTAGAAATTTTGGAACACCATTTTATTTCTAGTTGACTAGAGATTGTAAACGGTGGTAAAAAAAGTAATAATTCAACCCTATGAGTGATGATTATGACATGTTTAGCATTGTAGGAAATCCATTGTTGCACCTCTTTGAGTTGGAAAAAAGTGTTAGAGGAATAGATTCCCAATTTGAACCAAACTTGAGTTGCGAAAGGACAATCTCTCAAAATGTGGAGACCAGTTTCTACAAGAGGGACAATCTCTTAGTATGTCTTACTTTATAAGATTTAGTCTTAATATCGTAGATCCTTAGGTGTGTATGTATGTATGCTTGAGATATTTTTCTAAAAGACAAAGTGATAGAGAAAGAACGTGAGAGTAAAGTGTTAAATGTAAGCATGAAAAAATGATAACATATGTGCAAAAGTTGTGAAAAAGTACATAGAGAGAAAATTAGAACTTGTTAGAGAGATCAATGATTTTTTGAAAAAAAACAAAAAAAAAATTACTCTATTGTAAAGAATCGGTCTTGTTTACAAATAATAAATTTTGCTTTTTTCCTGTGGATGTAAACCAAATTGACTAAATCACATAAATATGTTGTGTTATCTTCTTTGAATCTTATTCATTTACTGTAACATTTTTTCCCTGCATTTACGTTTTACATTTTTGTTAAATATTATTGTTTTTGCATTTTTTAATTTGTTCATTCATAAGCTCTTTTCTTGTTTTCGGTTTAGAACCCTAAGAATTCATTCAAAAAATAATAAATCAAATTACAGGAAATATCAATTAAATTTAGCACAACTTACCAAAATATTTGATAGAATTCAATATTGTGTTGTTGAATATACTTATTATGATGTGAGAGAAAGAAATTTTAGGTTGTACAATCATTAATTGATGAGTAAAAATATTATTTTTAGATACATAATTACTTAAAGAGCTACATAACTTTTTTTAAAAACTGTTGTTGATATTGAACATATTTTATATTTTGTACCCATATAAAAATTAGGTACAACTTTTTAATATTTATGGGATATTCATCATTTAGGGTAATATATTATTAATCTACTCGATATCATTCAAACTATTTAATATTTGTACATGTATAAAGGAATTTTGTCTTTTTTGCTTTGATGATTTCTCTTCTCTTCACTTAAGTGGTTACCTTGCTAAATCAAGGATATGTACTTGCAAAAGGTATTTCGACACTCAAGTAAGTAACTTATTTAGTATAATAAATGTGAGTATATTGTGAATAGTGAATTTACCTCGAAATGTAATACTATTTATACTAACTATGATGGACCTAAACTTAAGATTAACAATTAGGTAATATGTTGGTAATTTGCTTTGTACAATGATTAGACTTTAATCACCTTGATTACCTTTTACATAAAATGAGGAATTATCTATCACATTCAGTGTTATAGGCAATCGACAATTGAGGACGTCGAGCGAATGTATTTTTAGGGACACATGCCTGGACTTGCAAGAGTGGTGCCTTAGTGTATGCTGTCGATCGAGTGTTCTTGGGCTCGCGAAGGTACTTTGTTGTCTGAGATTGCCAAACGAATGTACTTGGACTCACGAGAGTACCTTAGTGTTCAAGGCTGTCGAACGAGCATACCTAAATTTATGAGAGTGTCTCGGTGTCCAAAGTTGCTAAACAAAGATACTTGGACTCACAGAGGGTGTCTCAGTGTTCAAGACTGTCGGATGAGCATGTCAGGACTTGTGAAAGTGTCTTGATGTCTGAGGTTGTTGAACAAATATCATCGATTTCCAATAATTGAATGGTCCATCTATTATAATATTTATTTAAATAGAATAATATAGTTTACATAAAATAAAAGTAAATTACATGTTTGGCAACCTGAAAATTTACTTGATCTTTGGTTTATTGTTTAGTATGATAAATTTAAAACATTACTATTTGTTTAGTAGTTTAGTGTTTCTTTACATAATAGAGTACCATCTCCTATGTAGGAATTTTAAGCGTTCACGTTCTAATTTATGGACTAATTATATTTACGTATCGTGGACGTGTTCTCGTGTACACGTGTTCCATTCCTTTGCACAGATACGAAAATCAGTTGATCTCGCTCTTGTAAAACGTGTCAAAAAAGGCTTGGAATCTATACCAAAGAGAATATCATTTTGGTTTTTATTTTCATGTAAAAAATTTTGTCCTGTTTATCTTATAAAAAAAATTCTAAACTGTTTATCTTTATAACTAAAAAATTTTACTACCTGTATAACCGTTTTTTAATTAATATTTTTTCATTTTATTTTTCACAATAAATAATTATGAGTCACTACTTTTCTACACCACTTTTTTTTTTACAAATTATATAGAGACTTGGTAATTCTACTCCACTAATCAAAATAATGTGGAAAGCTAGTCGATAATTATTGAGTTAGATGCACTCAGTAAAAAAGAAGAGAAGAAAAACTATGAAAATATCGCTGATAATTAGAAATAATTAAACACAACTTATATTTATAAAAAAAAACGTATATCTTACAGTTAAAACAATATTTTTCCCAACCAAATAAGACTATCATGAAAACAAAGATTGAAGTATTGATTTAAGGTCAACTATGATTGAACGAGTATTAAAATTAAACAGTATCACAATTAATACTAAATAAAAGAGGGATGCAGTTATTTTAAGAATAAATTTTAATATATTAATTATATTTTATATTAAATTTTAAAAATATAATTATTAAATTAAATTTTTTTAATGTATAAATTAAGTTTACAAATTTTAAAAAAATATAAAAATTACTTGATATTTTGTTTCATTAATTCAAATTGAAGAATAATCATAAAAAAAATTATATGTTCATTTAAATTTATATAATAAAATATATTATAATTTTCAAACTTTTTAAAAAAATTTATCAACTTGATATATACATTAAGAAATTTTAATTCAATAATTAAATCATTAAAATTTAATATAAAATATAAATTATTAAATAAAATAAATCTTAAACTATCAAATCTTAAGATAATTGGATTCCTCTTCATTAAATAAATATATTAACACAATTTTGTAGCTCTAAAAAAATCAGTTTGTAGATAATATTTTCTTTGTTATTTTTGTGACAGAGAGAAGATGTGTATATTACAAATAAAATGTTAATATACTTTTTTAGTTTATGTAATTTTACTTATTTTATCTTTTAGTCCTTATATTTAAAATAAATATTTTTAGATTTTATATTTATTTTTTAATCCTTAATTTTTATTTCTTATATATATATTTTTTAAAAAGTGTCTTATCTTATAAAAAAAAACTTTCTTCATTCCTTTTTATTTTATATAGAAAAAAATGTATTAAATTTTCTTATTTTCTACCGAATAATTTTAAGACAAAAAATTAGATATAATTAGTATTATTTTTTAATCAAATTTAGAATTTTACATTAATATTATTAATATACATTTATATATATTATCATCTAAAACTCCATCTTATCTAATGTAAGAATTGTACTAAATTTTATTAATGATTTTAATGTTTTCTGATATACCTTTTTCATTTTTTCAATTATCATGAATAAATTAATTAAAAATTAAATATAAAATGTAATAATATAATTAATAATAGGACAAATAATATTATTTAAAAAAATGAAAATTAGAAATAAATAAATAAAAATTGACTTAAAAAAGCGAGAAATAAAAAGAAAAAAATTAAAATATTTGAAGATAAAAAGTGAAAATAAAAAAGAGGTGGGGGTATTGCATTGCATCCCCTTTGTATGTTATAGAGATAGATTTTGGCACAATAAGGTGGAAGGAAGCTTCGTGAAAAGTGAAAAGGTACAGCCATTCACACATGACATTCAATATTTATACGTCTCTTCCTTTTATGGTCAACACAAGTCCTCTGCTTCTCCTTCTCCTTATAAGACAACCAACGCTTTGTTCTGTTCCCACAACATGGCTTCCATTTCCCAAGGTCTCGTCTTCACCACTGCCATGCTCTTCTCCTCCACCCTCCTTTACTTTGCATTCTCTAGGCAAAACACTTCCCCCCACTCCAACAAACAACTCCTTCGTTCTTGCATATACTCAGGTAAACCCCTCTCTTATTATTATTGTTCTTTTCTTACTCGTCACTTTTGAGTTTTGAGGTACCCACTTCATTTTTTACCTCTTGTAGAGGAGAAGAAAAGGGAGAGGAGGGGGAAGAAGAAAGTGAAATTTGCGGAAAATGTGATGGTAAAGGAAGAAGAAACTGATTGTAACGATGGAAACAGAGAAAAACAGGGGAAGCGAAACAGAGTATCGAGGAGCGAGTGCATTAATGAAGTTGCCGAAAATCGTGAAATGCCAGCCAACCGAGTTGCTCTGTATAATGGGATTTTGAGAGATAGGGTGCAGAGGATGGCGTGCTGTCACTGATCGCACCACTCTTCTTCATGTAGATTCTCTCTGTTCTTGGAACTTGGAACGGGGGAGAAATTCTTCATTGCAACCTGTTCATCTTCCTTTTCTGTTTTTTTTTTTTTTTATTTTTTTTTCATTTTTCATTTTTAATGTTCACAATAGATAATTTCATGGTTTATTTTGTGGAATGTAAATTTTTTACATTATCTCTTCATCAAAAACATCAAATTAAATATGCTTTTTTAAAATTGTTCCTGTAGAAACACTCCTCTTATCGTTCTTCTTTCTTGGTCTTCTGAGTCTTCGTGCCGACCGAATACTGTCCCCGAGAGGTGGGGAGGGTACCTGCAAAGGCACTCCAACGATTAAGTGAGTATTCGGTATAGAGCAATAAGTGCTTTTATATTGGATAATAACGTACATCATTTATGTCACATCACCTGTGTATTTATAGTGACACAATTGGGCCTGGTGGGCCTTCAGTCTTGGGAGATGGGTAACACTTGGGTTAACCTTAATCTCTTCTTAATCAGGCGTGGTAATTACTGTATAATAAGCGTCTAATTTTGTCACGTGTTGTTCGAGCTGGTCCTTGTTGAAGTCCTCGGGAGTGTTCGGCCTACCTTAAGGGCGAGGAGGTGTTCGGCCTAAGTCAATGCTGAGGGTTTTGCCCCATGCTCTTCGTGAGCTGGTCTTTATTGAAGTCCTCGGCCAGGTACAAGGCCGAAAGGGTGTTCGGCCCACCCTAAGGCCGAGGAGGTGTTCGGTTTAAGTCAATGTCGAGGGTTTTGCCCCATGCTCTTCGTGAGCTGGTCTTTGTTGAAGTCCTCGGCCAGGTACAAGGCCGAAAAGGTGTTCGGCCTACCCTAAGGCCGAGGAGGTGTTCGGCCTATCCTAAGGTCGAGGGGGTGTAGTAGTGTGTTACATCGGTTCGAGTGCCCCTTTCGGCCTATTATCTGACCGAAAGGGTACCTACCTGTGGACTGCGTCTTCGTCGGTTCGGGCACCCCTATCGGCTTATCATTTGGCCGAAAAGGTGCCTCCTAGTACAAAAATAATTATATTAATCAGTAAATTTATTATATACATGTTTTTGGTCTCATATTTAAGTAAGAAAACATATTTATATTAACTAAAAAGCGTTACAAAATAAAAAAGTTATTAAAAATAAAATCTCAATTGATATTTTAGAGATGATAAAATTAAATTAGTTGAATATTCCTGATAGTACTCTAGACATTTATTCTCATTAGTTAAATTTTTGAAAATTATAAAATTTGAAAAGAAAATCATTAAATAAAGTATGTAACTCATTAAATTTTTGTGTTTTTAATAAATTTTACCAATTAAAAATATATTTAAAAGAATATATTATAGTGTGTTGATAAAAGGAAAAGAAAAAAAATTAAGATATTATTAATTTCAAGAGTTAAGATGCATGCAGTTTGAAAAGAAACTGCAAAGGATCTTAATCCTGTCAATTAATGTTTCTGAGTAGTCAAGGGTAAAAATATTTGACTTTTTTTCTTTCTTTCAATTCTATTAGTGATAAAAAAAATGAAACCTGTTAGAGTAATTTAGTGCATAAAAGACAATCACGTGAAGAGTGATGTGAAACAAAGAAAAATATGTAAGCTGGAAAAAGAAAAAAAAATGATATTTATATTTTTATCATAAAGGAGATATCATTTTTTAGTAAACGTCTTTTATCTACAGTTTTAATTAAGCCATTACATTTTTCAATTACTTAGAAAAAAAATTTAAAAAATTAAGAGTTTTTCTATCGTCTTTTCCCACACAATTAATAAGTTATTCATACTCTTTAATAAATACCTACTTTACATTTATTCTCTTTTTAAAAAAAAAGTTAATGAATCAAAAACTTTTTTCACACTTTTTTAATAATGAATCAAGAGGAATGAACTGATGAAGTGCCTCCACCTGTACTGGTGTATAATAAGTTGTGTTATATATAGAAAAGAAAGAAAAATATACGAACAAAACGAAACAAAAGATTAAGGAAGCGTACACTAGTACAATTATTCGGACTTTGTTGAATTGAAAGGAACACTATGGCAGTTCAACAAAATTGACCAACCCTACTTGAACAATACAAATATATCGTGTTATATAACGAGGGTTATCATATACATCTTTTTATGTTGGTAAGATATTGTCTGTTTTGGGCTTAGTTTTCATAGTTTTTATTGGAAAAATTCAAGTCCCACATCAACTAGAAATTAGACAATTAAATATCATATAAGTGGAAAACAACCCTCACCTTCCAAGCTAGCTCAAATCCACTATTCTAAGATGGTATTATAGCTATTCTAGATTCTTAAAAAAATGGGTCATTAAAAAAGGTTCACCTATCATTTATCCACATACCAAGCTCAATAGTACTGGACGTGAGAGGGTGTATTGAAAAAAACTCACATCGACTAGAGATTAAGCAATTAAATAGTATATAATTAGAAATGTATGTGAGACTTTACTTGCATCCCAACACTAAGTTTCTTAGTTTTTATTTTATTATGGGGTGAAATCTATTTTTAGTGCCGGCATTTTATTCATTTGGAATTTTGAATTCCGATTTTGGGACATAGTTTCTTTTAGAATATGGTGCTGTTTTTAGATAAACCATGTTCTCAATCTCAGCACATCTCTTTCACAATTGTTGATAAACCAAACTATATTCCCTTCTTGATAAATATTTAAACTGCACTACACCTTTTTGCTTATTTTAAAATTACACTCTCTATTCTTCGTAAATTAATATGCACTATGATTTAGTCCATTTCAACGCAAACAAGCTGCTTAAGGCCTTTTTCTTTTAGAAAATGAAATGAAGATTCCGAGTACAGTTCCAAAGTCCATAACACTGGTCTTGAAAACATTATTTTATCTGCTAAAGTTTCAAATTACTAATATATTATTCCAAATTAGTTGTTGAGTATCTTAGAAGCTTAAGAGAAAGGAAAAATACAGTGACATGACAATGACAATTTCCTAGTAAACAACTTGTGCGCTTTTCTTTAACCTGCAGCGGTCAGCTTAATCATACTTGTTAGTTGTTACGAGCTCGAGCCATCCTTGTTGACAAACATCCATCATAATTCATTTATACTTTTTTTAACTTCAAACATTTTTTTCTCTCCAGTCCAACAACTTCAAAGAATTCACTCTTTTTATTTATTTATTACTATTTTTATGTCATGTATTGACAAAAATATCTATGATTTCCATGAGAAACTACTCTCTCAACATCTTAACGACATTAAGATTATCCTTTCTGGTATCATTTTTTTGTCAAACTTAAATCAAATTCAAAATCTTGTGACTTAAGGATCTCAATTATAATTCTAGTTGAACGAACAATCGTTGATCATTCACTCTTTTTATAAGACTCAATTATCCAATACATTATAATTTTAAAAAATAATTAATTTAATTAATAATATTAAATTTATTATAAATTTATATTCTTTTCAAGATTATTATAACTTTAGTAAAAACCTGTACCAGTTACCTATTGAATTAAGAAAAATAATTATAACTAAGAGTATTTCTTATAATAAAAATAATTAATACAAGAGACATTTTAAATTTGTCTTTATAAATATAATCAAACAACACTCCTGGTTTGAGAATAATAAAAAAGACAGGAGAGAATATTAAATAACTAACTATAAATCCTTATATTTCATCACCATTAGTCGCCACCAACTTTAATATTTTTTTTATTCGATAAAAACTAGATTCCATGCCACAATAAACATAGTATCAGTTCTTGTATAAGTACATGGTATTTAACAAGTTCTTAATAAGATGAAACTCTACTATAATATCTTAATGGATACAATGGAGGTGGCTTAAGAGAACCACACAGTTGCGGTCCGTTGTTTCCACAGTTTGAAACAATTGTCCCCACTACCACCTAAATAAAAGATTGATTGCGTATTGAAGACTTGAAAATTTCACTTAACCAAACGTTCCCCAAAAAAGATCTGGATATGATAATTTTTGTTAGGCAATATAGCTGAAGACAGGTAGGCTTTTTCAGAAAAACTTAAACCAGAAAGCAGGTACAAAAACATAAATGACATTGTGGAAGAAAGGGAGCACTGATTAGAAACCAGTCAAAGCCATATAAGCCAACATCAGATAACTAAAGTCCGTCATTGACATCTTCAGAAAAACAGGAAGAAGAAAAAAACATCTCCACAAGACATCACAGACTATATTAAGATTATTACTAAGTAGTAATGAAAACACAGATTAGGATGTAAGCAATCACAAATTTGTAACAAAGTAGAATCAAACAAACTAAGTGGTGAGGATAGGGGGCATGTAGTCAGCTTTGGCACCAAGAATGCGAGCCTTGGTGTCAGGGAAGAATTCAAATCCTGGCAGCTCAGTGACATCTCCTTCGCTGGCAACGCCAATCGGGTAGCGGAGCAGATGACCAGGAAGGTCATGCTCAAGTGACTCATTAGAATACAGATCCCAATATTTGTCAGCAATCTGGTTCACCTTACTAATGCATTCTTCACTTTCTGGCCTGAGGAAGGAGTCATGAAGCATGCCAAGATGCTCATACCACAATGACATGCGGAAACCGTGGATCTGGCCTCGCGCCGGCTGTCTGTTAGCCAAATGATAGGGCTGATAAGCACCCATGGCAATCTCAGAGTCCCTAGAACCATCCATTGACCTTTGGTTGATGTTGGCAGATCCAATGATTATGTATTCGTCATCAACTGCAAGTGAAAAAACATATATAATCATCACAATAATGATAGAAGCATCCAATATTATGACACTTGAATATGTAATTCATGAACCTTGGCAGCATAATTTTTCAACTTACCTATCATCATCTTGGTATGAACATAAATCATGAAACGCCGGGCCTCTTGGGCTTTCTTATAATCTGAATCATCATCTGGTTGTTCAGAAGGCTCATATTCTCCCGATTTCTTGACTTCCCGATTACCAAGGCAGAAGAATGTCAAATAGTTTCGGGGATCATCATCGAGTCCTTTAGCCTTCAGCGCCTGAACAACATCCTTGTACATCATCTCCATTGTTCTCCTCTGCCAGTCCAATATTGCCTGAACTGATGCACTTTCTGGGACACCCTCTGGCCACATTGGGACCACAACATATACGGTGAACCTTTCCCCGGCTTCAATCTTACTAACAATCTTAA